TTTGACTTGTTGAGTTTTAATCCTTCTGGATGGGAGACTTCAGACTTGGAGTTGGCCAAGGTTGAATAATTCAGGTGGAAATATATGCAGGACAGTTTTCTTTTTATTTTTTAATAAACTTATTATATTATTATTATTATTGTTGTTGCTGTTATTGTGTCAACATTCGACCTAGTTGCATCAATAACCAATTAAAAAAATAAACATGCTCATAGTATTTTTGTGACTAACATGATATTCTAAATTAGCTGTCTATCAGTATTGTGAATTTGTGACAATATTTTAAATTATTTCAATTATTTTATATTATTTTTTAACATTTACCATCTTAACTAGGTTGATTATAAAAAAATCAATTACATTAAGCCTAATATTTAATTGCAGAATGGGCAAGTATATTATGATTTAATCTATAATGGAGGAAGCCAAAGGAAATTTGAGAACTAATTTTGGTCGAGTGAGTGTAACAACTAACAACTAATATAATCTACTGTGTCAGAAAACGTCACTCTATATTATCTTCAATGTGAGTAACAGGACAAAATACAATTTCATACATAAAGTAAATTGCACAACAGTTAACTAAACATGATTCTTTCATTCAAAACGGAAATCAGTTCAAACGAAGCAATGCTAATAGGTCTTAGGAGTCTATGACTCAACATGCTGCTTGGTTGGAATATGAGAGCTATAGGATTACAGGAGGCATGTGAGTCAGATGTTACACTTGATTATCATCCTTTACCCTTGCTAACTCCTTCTGTAGCTTTGCTTCCATCATATGAAGAGAGACTGAAAATGTTCTCGTTGGTTTGCAAGAACCTATAGAATGGGAACAAACCCAGACAAGTAGAGACAAATACAAATACTAGTCAGATTTGGTAGCACCATTGCCAAAAAACTTCATCATAATTCTAAATATGTCTCCTCACTAGACCCAAACACGTAGTTCACCACAAGTTGGCTATATCATAATCTCATACGGGACAATATTGAAAGCGAGCAAGATTAGAATAATTTTCAATGTCAAGCATCAGAGCTATATGCCACATGATATTAAGCAGAAAGATCAAAGTGTCCATATACTTGAGAAAGTCGAGCAATTTCTGCTGCAACCGAAGCAAAGTCTCCTCTTCAATCTTCACGTATGTCAACAATTCCGGAAGTTTCACTGAAATGATAGAGTAATCCATAAGTAAGAAAATTCTACAGAACATATAACATGATTTCTTCAAAATAGACCAAAAAAAAGAAAAAACAAGCATACCAAATAAGCGCAACAAATGCTCAGCTCCATATACACTTGATGGAGAAATATTTTCTTGAATTGCATCTTGATACTGTTGCCTCTCTTTCTTGTACAAAAGAATAGAGGGCAATGCTTTGTCAAAATAAGAGCGTAGCCCATTCAAAATTTCACCGACAGCATCTGTCGTCCTTACATCAATGGAAAAAGTCAAGGATCAGTTTATCAGGTGACACCTTGTCCCAAAACAACGCTGTTAACAAAGAAATTCAATCTGCATAAAACAGGATACAATTGATGACTAATCGATTTGATTCGGTTGGTGTTCCAGATTTTCGTCAAAACTCTACGCCTATCATTTACAATATGTCAATGGAAGCGGAAATTCTAATATACTAAAAGGTATGCTAAAGAGAGCCAATCAACTGTCCAAAAGTTAGACTAGTAAAAGAGCAAGGAAAAACATCTTTAAGAAGTGGGCACTGAATATGTCTTCATTTTAAGGCTAACAAATGGCCACAAAATTGGCCAACACCACCCCAATAATTTATATGTAAAGCTTAAAGAGTAAATAAATAAAAGTTATATACACCAAAAGGATGTTTAAATCAAAGAAAAAGCAGCATATGAGAAACTCACATTCCATCCTTCTTGGACCTGTATTCAAGATATTTTGTTAATATATCATCAACATTTGGAGATCTGGGGAGTTTCACAAGCTGCAAAAATAGGTGCTTATATATAATGATCAACTTTTAATTCAATAAAGACAAATACTAAATCAAACACCAGGAAACAAACAAACAAAAAAACCCCATCACAATCCCTCTAAAAGGACCCGAAAACAATCTCTGAACTGCTCTTAATACATAAAAGCTTGACGTAAGTTAGATAACAGAAGCTCAGATGCAAAAGTCATCGTCAATAAAGTGTCAAGCTCATGATGCAGAATCAACACTCTTATCTGAAAGACCAAAGAAATGGACGATATTAATGAATAATGGAGCATCATCCGGTGAAAATTTTTGGGGTAGCATGATGAAATTTCATCAGAAAAAAAGAATGTGAAATAGTCCAGTCCAGCATACTTTTTTCACTGAGATTAAATTGAATAAAACCAGTTTCCGGCAACTCTGTAGCATCCTTATATGTTCTCACGGGATAAACAAATAGAAACAACAGCAGCAACAATTAGCTAATCTGAAAGGATAGATCATGTGGGTTAAAGCCCAGATTAAATCATCGCTGGTTACAACAGATGATAAACGGGTTGATATGAGAAATTCAGCCAATCTTAACAAAACGATGGGTTGTTATTTCTAGATCTGCAATTATGAACATTAAAATCAATGGAAAGATATGCTTAAGAAAATTGGCATCATTGTCACAACTAATTTTTTGTCATTTTTTATGTTTCTCATTTTTATCCTTTTGGGAAGAGGGTTCCTATAGCTAATAAAAACAAGTACCTTGTTCTGCTGAGTGACCAGCTCCCAGTCACTAACTAATTGTTTCTTCAAAGTTGGCGGAATTTGGATCTTGATGAGCTTTTCTGTGGCTGGATTGCTCTAATAATGCAAAGAAAAAGCTTGAGGCAACCAATACAAAAATAACCTCAGGCATTTTCGCAAGTAGATGCTCTTGGTTTTTAATTCTGATGAAAATTTACATCACAGTGAGAGAGGGAGAGAGAGAGAGAGGAAAGCAAAATCTGATGAACCACTGAAAACTTCACACTTAAAAAGGGAATGAAAGAATTTGATACATAGGATGCAATTGAACTGTAGTGAACTTCCATTAGCTGATTGTGTGATCATTACTCTAAGAAATTTAGCTGTAATTGCACCACAGAATGCATAGCAGCATGGACAAGTGGACAAATGAAGCTTCCAGAAAGAAGAAGAACTATAAATTTCTAACAGTTGGAAACATGGTAATAACAGATCGTACATGATGATGGGAGAAAATTTACCATGTGAAAGAAACTGAATATAGAGCCACTTGAAGATGGAGAAACACTATGCATAAATAAGAAGAAAGAAGAGAAAAAGATCATGCCCGATGAGTGTGGACAAGCTCAACGCGAAAAAAACTTGAAATGTCCACTATATAAAAGAACATACCTCCACGGCCGAGTCAACCTTCCGCTTCTTCCCTTTGGCAACTGCAATATGATGACGATAAATAAGTATGCCTAACGTACATGATTATTAGAAATAAAATGTAGCCAGTGATTAAATTCCTATCATTCAACCAAAAGGGAGACTGCACCTACCACCAAAGGATGAAATATAGAGCTGACATTCTAATTTAGCCTACTTCACTGTGCACAAAGATGACAATCTCTTTTACTATAATTTTAAGATAACCTGTCCAAAACAAGAAGAGACGATCCTTGGGATTTTATAAGACTGTGAATCCCATTTCGAAAGCCAGAAGAACAGCAAGTGAAATTTTGGAAAACAAAGTAAATCGATATGAAGTGAGAATGATAGTTAGAACCACAACTGGCCAGCTTACCACTCTTTCTCACATGACATTCAATGTAGTACGTGAAAAGATAAAAGATATCCATAAACTTGAAAACCACATACCTACATTCTTTGCCTCATCTTTATCCACTTTAGCATCTGCAAAATTCAAACCCAGTAAGGAAGGATGTTAGTGTATTAAAACAGTAGTCAAGCATCATAGATAGTTTTGATCAGCACCAGCAGAACTCTTCGGCTTTGTGTAAGTTGAACGCCCTGATTTACTGTTCTTGTCAACCCCAGCCTTCTTATCAAGAGTCTGTTGCTTTAAAATATTCTCTTCAGTATTCTTCATCAAACGATCCATGCCTACCCATTCATCCCAACTAATTGCAAACATATTCAAGGCCTAAGTTAGTAATCTGCATCATTAATAACATACACACCATATTATTCTTTACTAGAGTACTTTTGCAGTAAAGGATTCGATAACAAAATCCATAAATATCCTCATACCATCTCTTCCTAGGTACCTGCCTAATCCCTTGGGTGAAACAAATCTAACTTTTACAATATATAACCAGGAGGTTTTGTATTCAGTTTGTGAAAAATAAGAAGAAAGTACTGCTCGATATGGATGGACTAAGACATTATTACAGAACCATCACATTAAGTCTGCCTACCAACAGGATTTCCCGGGTCACTTTTGTGAAATTATTAGGAGTTCATGAGAAATATGAGTATACCATATCCATCCTGGAAGTCGAAATCCTATAACATTTTAGAGGTACCCGAGAAGCAAACCTAAGACCCACCAATGCAGCATCAGAAATACTTGGAACAAACGGAAGTCCTTCCATCGCATAGAACATCTTGGGGAAATCCAGTGTGCATGAGAAACAAAAAAGTGCTCAAAAAATATCACATCCTACAACTTAAACAATAATACTAGGAGGCTGGTCAGACATCGTGCTGACTACAACGGGCTATGTGTCTACATGCATTGAACACAAGGCAAAAAAAATATTTCTATCTTCAGGAACAATAAGAAACTAATTTTGACAACACAAATAATGTTCTGACCCAATCCAAGTATCAAGATTGAAGATACAAACAGCTTCTTCATTTTGAATGACTGTTTTTTCATTCGGTTATCCTTTTGATAGACACAAATAAATCCGAACCACAGACTGTGTTTCCATAAAGATACATGAACTATAGCAATACTTTATTGACCAAATATTCAAAATGGGATGAAGTTTTAGAATATAGTTGATGCCTCAAGATGACAAACAGTATACTACAATTGCATTCCCGGATATGATTCCCATCCCATATGTGCAAGTTGATGTTCACTAATTTATGCTAGCTGAAAGTGGAAAGATGTTCTTTTGGAGTCTCTGTGGAGAAAAAAATAAGGTGTGGTCAAGCATTTCTAGTTCTTGTGCAATTGAAAACAACTCCAGTACCTGCAATGAACTTCGAGAAGATAATCTGATATACCACTCACTAAATTCCAAATTCCCCCTAAAGCAAAGTTTCCTTCGCATTGAACAATTACTTCCCTCATTTGATAAAAACACACGAGCATCCTCAACAAATCCGCAAACCAGAAACAAAAGTTCCAGCAAGTATACGAGAATATTGAAATGTAAACATCCTACAGGAATCCCCTGTTCATCTGATGATTGCTAGAAATTTGGCACCAACAACATCCTCGCTTTTTATTGATGTTCTTTGAAGCATCTTCTTTATATAGCCACTAACAGGGATTGATTGACCTAACATGTAACCTATCAACCAAATCTTGTGCCAGTTTAATGCATTTGATTATTATGTTCTTTTTTTTATGAGATTCCTGATTCCAATTCCTAATATTGGGATTGATATCACATGAGAAGGGAAATATGTTTAAATGAAAATATAATCTCATATAGTCTGAAAATGAATAATGCAAAGGTTCAGAAGTTTCAAGGAAATTTCAGAATTTTAAGTTAAAAATAAAATAATAATCTATGTCATATGTATGTACTTCATGGCAACTTTATGTATATAACAATTTTATGAAGGTATGATGAAGTCTACTTCCAATATTTATTTATTGTAAGTATGAGCATTTATTTATAAGATCATTGCTTAAAATTAGATTGATCGTAATAATGAGTGAATTAAGCAGATATAGAATGTAGTAGTGTGTATTAATAGTATAATTTGAATTAATGATGCAAATAGTGATTGACAAATATGTAAATCCAGGTATGTTACATTTGTGAAAATTGTGTATAGAGCTTGAAACTTTTAAGTATTATTATTGTGGATCCAAGATTCTATTTCACATGAAGGAAAAAAAAACATAGAAGACAGAAAAAAGAAGAAATATAGTGGATAATTTCATTGAAAATAAATCGAATAAACAAGATTTGAGATTTCTGAATTGGAAAATCACAAATTGTATTCTTGCAAAAGCACACTATGCATGATCATCAAAATCACCAAATAAGTAAATAGCATGATCATTAAAATCACCAAATAAGTAAAATAGAAGACATTAGATGCAGTATATCACAAATATAGTATTTCAAGATCCATCAAGGAAAAATACTTTCACTTGAACGTAATACTCTCACACGCCATAGCATTTGGTTTCCATGAACCAAAATCAACCCCAAGCGTAATTTTATGCATGATTTCTTTTTTAATAAGAATAGAAAATATTCTAGCAACAAATATTAAACATAATAAAATTTAGTATCCATATCTTACAATCAACATAATATATATCATGTAGAGATAGTAACTTCAAATCCTTGATCATATCCCATAAATAAAATAATCCCACTAACATGATAAGTACAGATATTTATAAAAGGCCAAAAAACAACTATGTTCCCATCCCAGGAAGAGAGCGAGGGGCAGATATAAAAAATTAGTCACACATATGATATTCTCTCATGAAGCTTTCCTTTAAGGTTACGAAATAGTTAAGTTCATGAAAATCCCAAAATGAGCATCTCTTTGGACATACAATTTCATCACAAGAAGCTCCTTACAGAACTCACATGGAAAATTATATGCATTTTCTCACTTCAAGCTCTATGTTCTCGTTTTTAGTTCTACATTCTTCATATATTATTTTCATGCATTTAATCTTCTTTGAAGTTACGCAGACAAACTAACGTTATATCATCATCATAAAACATATAAGAAGCAGCAATTGTTTCCAAAGGTGTTATAGAGAATATGAACAATTGCACCTAATTGTTTGTCATGTAGGCTAGGGGAATCAAGACATGCAGTTTATAACAAAATGGACACTGAAGTTTGACCATGATTTGATATGAAGGAACAAAAACAAGGTTGGGAATAGAACGTGGAGGGGGGAAGGGGGGGTGGAAGTTTTGCCTCAATTTTCCGATATGGTTCAGGACTCGGAATCAATCAATGAGTTGCGCCAAGACTGAAAAGTATACTCACTTCTTATTCCAACCCTGCAAACACACAGAACATAAACAATCACAGTGTCCTATGTCAAAAGGAATGCTCAAGGTCATTAACAAATTAGGTGTAAGGGCAATAAGGTGTTCATTGTCTAGATTGCAAAAACCATCTAACACATGTAGAGATTAGATTATCCAAAGACAGTAGCCATTTCCCCTCCCCAAATAATAAAAAAAGATTATAAAAAAAAAGTGAGTTATTGACTTACAAGGTAGTGGACAAAATATCTCCATTCATTCTTCCGAAACTCTGCTTTTTGTACCTTAAAAACACCAAAGAGAAACTAATCAAAGAACAATTTTCAGTCAAAAATGATAGTAAGTAAATAAGTCATATAAATATATATCTATAAATGGTACAAACATGCTAAACAGCTAAAATAAATTGAGATCCATAAACTACATCTCAGGGTTACTCGTATTAAGAGCTGCTGAATGAGCAACCTTAATGAATTTAAGAACCATCTCCCTCAATAAGATCTACAATGAAGAGAACTTCAGCATCTCATGAAAATTTAGATGCGTAATAGGTGGTTCTATATAATTTCCACAACATGGATGCAACAAGAAACCTCGACAAACATTAAAAAATTGTGTACCATGCTACTCCATTAAAGGAACCTGCACCGGGAAATGTTCTAAACTTCCGCAGAAGCTAATGGTCTCTTTTCTATAATTCATGTTGGCATTGATTACTCAATACTCATATGCATTTGATTTACACAGCTAAGGTTTACTGTTGGGCACGGTCCAATAGTTAGTAGACTACCTAGCTGAGGTAGTACGTGTTTCAGTAGAATAAAAAAAATTAAAAGAAAGAACAGCTAGCAATGCCAGTTGCAGAAAAACATCAGATGATGCATTACTTTAAGGGTGAAGTTCACAGAACTTCTAATTGCTTGAGCTTCACACTATAAACATATCACATTGGTAAATGCTCATATACTTCCGAATCTGATAAAGGAAAGATAAAGTAAAAAACATATCCTCGCAAAAAATCTTCACATACACATCGGTTGAAGAAATACATCACATGATGTCAGATGATGCATTACTTTAAGGGTGAAGTTCACAGAACTTCTAATTGCTTGAGCTTCACACTATAAACATATCACAATGGTAAATGCTCATATACTTCCGAATCTGATAAAGGAAAGATAAAGTAAAAAACATATCCTCGCAAAAAATCTTCACATACACATCGGTTGAAGAAATACATCACATGATGCCTTAGTTAAGGGATGAAATTAACAAAAATCCAGTTGCCTGCCACTTTAAGCCTATCAAATTGGTAAATGCTTATATCATTTGAAATCTCTAATAAAGGACATAAAATATAAATAACATATAAGTATATGTCCTGGCAAAAAAATCTCCAGATACAAAAAATCTTGAAATACCAAAAATCTCCAGATAATGGATGTATCACAGGTGCACCTATACAAATATATAAGTCAGACAAACAAATCTCATTCCATTTACTCTATATGAAAGTGATTTGTGTACAGCAAAAGACAATACTTAGATGAAAAGGAAACAATAAATATTCTGTACTCATTTTTCTTTATTAGTTATGGGGAAGTTCCTATGGAATTGCTATATAAAAGGGATCAAACCCTGTATCAACCAATGTAACACCCTTACTGAGGGTAGGAGGTACAGCTTGAGCTACAAGCTCGTGGTATATTCTATATACTGTACTCATATCTCATTAGGTATTATTTCAGATAAGAAAGAAAAGAACTAGACATATCGTCTTTTAGTCCGCGATGGAGCTATCGTTCTACCAGAAAAAAGGAGTTTAAATACATATTCAAAAAAAAAAGACAAATTAATAATAATGTAAAATCATTTCAATAAGGAAAAAGAAAAGAAAAATAGATAATAAGGTTTCGTTCTAAACCCTAAGGACATCACAACATTTTAGGACATGCCTTGGCTTCGTAGATGCGGGGGCCGTGATAGGCGAGAACCTTCTCTCCTTCGGAAAATAGCTTCTTAGAGTCGGAATCCGGCGCTTCGCCGGAGGAATTATCACCGTCGCTCGCCGACTCTTTAATCGAACTGCTACCCATTTTTTCCCTTTTCCCGATATTTCCTGCTTTCCGAAACGGCTTCCTCGGATAAATTTGCATTCATTATTTTCTTTTTCCAAGATCTGAAATGAAAATAAACAGACAGAAAATCAGGAGTAAAGAGCCCTTCCATACCGGAAAGTCCAAAACCAGAGTTGCTGAGACAATATTTCCCACTTCTTTTGCCTGTTTCAAATTTGGCAGTGGGGAGGCGTGGAGCAGATTTATATAGAGAGACTGATTGTTTGTACATATTTGCAGAATGGTCCCCCAACTGTTTGTGGACAGCTCTACTGGTGCTTATAGTTTAAACTTCATCAAGTTGGAACCCAATTGAGCAGTATCTGTATTCGGCAGGTAGTGCTGTAAAAACAAATCGAATCGAGCTTGTTCGAGCTCGTGTTCGTTTACATTCGAACAGTGTTCGTGTTCGTTCGTTTATTTTTCGAGCACAAAATTGTATTCGAGTTCGTTCGTTTAATTGTTCGTCAAAGTTCGAGTTCGTTCGTGTTCGAATAATTTAATACATAAACTTTTTAAATATGTTTGATTAACTCGAAATTTGTTCGTTCGAACTCGAAAATAAAAGAATAAAATATAAATATTTTTATATTTTAGTTTATTAAAAATATTCAAAAATAAATAAAATTATATTAAATTTTAGATGTTTTATTAAAAATATTATGTAAATATATAAAAAATAAAATTATATTAAATTAATATTCGCGAACATAATCGAACGTTCACGAACGAGCTCGTGTTCGTTCGATTATTAAACGAGCCTAATTTTCTGTTCGAACTCGGCTCGATTAACAGACGAACGAGCTTTTGTCGAACACGAACGAGCTCGAACGAGTTTTTGTTCGCGAACGTTCGGTTCGTTTACAGCTCTATCGGTAGGGGATGGCTACAATTTTGAAAATTCTAGGATTGGATCGATTCAAGTATTACTTGTTTGTATGATGAGAACGAGGGCGGCAAACCGTGCCACAACCGCATATTTCGCAGCAGCAAGATTGGTCGTCGCGCAGCGATGACCCGTCCCGATCCAACAGAGGCTCAGGAGTGGTTCTTGCTCAGTGAAGGTGTCGCGCTGCGGAAGCTAATGTGAATCGGGGGCTAGTTGAAAATTTTTCTATTTACTGGCTTTGTTTGTTATTTTGATATTTCGTAGGAACTTAGTTGTTATTTTAGTATTTTTCTCTCTTTAATACTCATTTATTCATCTTTTGGAAGACTTATGCAATAAGAAATCAAAATCGCTCGCGTTCGAGCATAAATCTCGTGTTAACTGACGGCCGCCAGCGCGGGTTTCACAATTTCGATTTCACGATACACGATATTCATCATCGGACTTTCATTGAGAGAACCAATCGTTTATCATCATGTCAAACAGAGAATGAATTGATCGATTGGAGGAGAGCGTGCGTTCTACAAATAAAAATGTACAATTGACAAACCGCATCGTCGTGCGGATCGAAAGGATGCAGCTCCAAGGGACCGCCAGACGCACGTGAAGGGACGACTCAGATTTGTTGTTAGGCACGCGGAGGGAAAATTCATATTCACCGCCAGACAAGCCCACCGAATTCGAGAAAAGGCCAGAATTTCAGAGCGAATTTTGCAGATTATGAAGATAACCTGTCGAGGGGGTCGAACAAGCAGGACGAAGGTCGGTTCGCTGAAGACTGACGTTTGGCGTCATCATTCTTATTCGATATCCCCGATTTTTTGGGGGGCCTAGAAGCCGCCGAGTTTTTTGATGAGCAAAGATTGACCGAGTATGGGGGTCCGCCTCTTATTTATAACGAGACCCATGAGACGGATGAAAGTGGGGCTTATTCTCCCTTATTAAACGTGGGTGAAGATGACGAATACTTCGAACCAGCAAATGAATCTCCTAGTGTGAACCAAAGAAAGCTTGGTTAACTGATGATGCTTTGGCAGCTGCCCTTGAAGGGTTTTTATCTAGTGTTGGAATCCATCCATCTAATGGTTAAGCATCTTCAGCCTTTTCTGGAAAAGTTGATGAGGTAAATTACTCATCCATCTAATGGTCAAGCATCTTCAGCCTCTTCCGAAAAAGTTGATGTGGGAAACAATCAAGAAGATATTGGTTCTAACACAATCGAAGTGCAAGAACTCCTGTCTGCAAAAAAATATCAATGGAGATTTTTCGCAGCATGGTCATGGCTTTACATGTAGGGCTACTGAATTCATTGAAGAGAATATTGTTGAGGCTAAAAATTCATTCAAGATATTGGAACTAAGAGGAGATGAATTTCCTCAGATCGCAAAAACAGAGCGGCCATTTATATTTGTTAAAGATCGAGGACACAGAGAGTTCTAATGCTTCCATCGACGGAACAGAGGCGACGACACGGCTTGGTCCCGCACGTCTGCGTAGGCAAGATATAGTCCTGTCAGATTGCAGTTCACGGGAAAAGGACCGTGAGAATGCGTATTCATGACTTGACAAAAACAAGGGTCGTTTGAGACCGACCACGGTGGCAGATATCGTCGGCAATGAGGACGCCGTTGTTGGAGTATAATGTAGAAACTCGGCTTTGTGATTACTCCCAGTTCCATTTTGAATGAGATGTGTGTCTTAATCAAGTTGATGTTCGTAAGTTATTTATTTATGCGAACATAGTTTCGTAGTTTGATTTTTTTACCGCAATTACTTTAATTTATTTAATTAAAAAATATATTTTTTTTAGAATCCTTTAACGTGTACATTATATTAAAATCTTTACCAGTTTTTGAAAATCATGACCTAAATAATTTAAAAAATTAAAAACAACTATAAAACATTCAAATATTTCAATCATCCTCAAAATCCAACCATCAAATTTCAAACCACTAAATTCGAATAATTTAAAAATAATTGATATCGTCGATAATATTTCAATTTCAAATTCAACACTCTTGCATTACACGATTCACTTTGCTCACAAAATACCGAACGAACGTTGTTTTCATAAACATGTCCGACGCAATGGAGTTTTGAGTAATACAACAAAACAAGAAAAAGAGAGATAATTATAAGATCTCTAAACATATAAAAACTTGCGTGTTTAGATTTGATAATTAGCTCCTTAGTGTTACATTTGATATGTTAATCTCTTTTGCAGAACGTATAATTCTAAATGATTTTCATTTTTCAATCATAAGACAGATCAAATAATTCATAGACTTTAAAAAGATGACACTCAACATGTTTATTCTTTAAATTGTGTATCGTTTATTCCATCAATTTTTTTTTTTTCATTTTTCATTTAAAAAATTGTGTTATCTTTACAACATGTTCATTTTTTTTGTTTATAATTATAATAACAATTTTAATAATCTTTATCACACGGGAGATACAGACTAATTGCAAATAATAATAATAATAATAATAATAATAATAATAATAATAATAATAATAATAATAAT